TACTCTTACCAAACATAGTGCCAAGCTCACCACACTCTTACCAAACATAGTGCCAAGCTCACCACACTCTTACCAAACATAGTGCCAAGCTCACCACACTCTTACCAAACATAGTGCCAAGCTCACCACACTCTTACCAAACAAGATTATGATGGATTAAACGAGTCTGAGTATATAAAAATTTGTTAAATACCAAGAGACTAAATATGCTCTTCTAACGGATTTCTAAACGCAACAATAACAATGATAATAATAATTACAATTATAACACTCATAATAATTAATAATCAATATTTTATATTATGACAGTACTGCTAATAATACTGTAATAATTGTAAGATAATACTAATGATAATCGTTATTGGAAAGATCTCTGGTGTCCCCCCAAATATCTGGAAAGACATTTAGTGGGAATAAGTGTGATAATTGAATGAATGGCTGCCCTCTTGGTGTCAGGATTTCAGAATTGGTGTCATACTGTGTCACACAGTGTGCCAGATGAAGAATTACACACATGTGCAACATCTGGGTATCTTTATTTGTAGACGTTTCGCCAACCAGTGACTATCATTACAAGGTGATCAGACCTTCAGTCTTGGAGTTGGCGAAGATCACCGTCGTCTTGAAGGAACTTCATCTATTGTATATAATTCTTCACATCATGTCCTTGTGTTGACAAAGCCACTGGTTGGCGAAACGTCTACAGAGATGCCCGGATGCTACATATGTGTCTAATTCAGAATTTTGTCGGTATTTTAAACCATGTGTGTACAATCACACTGTGTACCAGCATCAGTGGAAACATGTCTGCCACGATGCTTTCAAATATTTTGTTTTTCACTAGCCCTCTCGGTTCTTGCACATCTAAGAGAAGAATAAAGGCACAATCGTTAATATTTAAATATCGTAAATATTGTGTTTGTGGGAAGATTGCTCGCTGTCTTAAGACACGATTCACGACCAGTTATAGGAGGCCTATCTTCATGTACCTGCGCTCTCAGCGGTCGTAATATAAAGCTCCACACCGTGACTTTGTAAATGGTCCAAGTCGGACCGAAACGTCGTCGTAAGCTCCTCTCTCCTATCTGCGGGTTATTTGTGACTTCTAATCTCTTGTGAAAATTAATGCCAGTTTTTTTTACATCAGTGTAGGGCAAATGATGTTATTATTTATATATATATATATATATATATATATATATATATATATATATATATAATATATATATATATATATTATATATATATATATATATATATATATATTATAATACATATATTATATATATATATATATATATATATATATATATATATATATATATATATATATAATATATATATATATATATATATATATATATAATATATGTCGTGCTGAATATGTAAAACTGGTCAATTAGCAAGAACTCATTTAAAATTAAGTCCTTTCTGAAATTTTCTCTTATACGTTTAAAGATATATTTTTTTCATTAATGTTAATGTAAAAAATTTTAATTTTGCTCCAAAACAATCTTAGAAAACTTACCTAACCTTATTATAACAAGAACAATTTATTTTAGCCTAACCCAACTAAATATATTTTAGATTTGTTTACAATAATTTAATACTAAACAAACACAGTGAAATATATTTTTTTCGTTAGGTTCAGAATGATTTTGGCGAAATTATTGCATACACAAATTTTCGCTTGTTCTATATGGCAAGATGAACGTTGCTATTTAAGCCAAGATCGCAAGTTCTGCCTATTCGGCACGACATATATTATATATATATATATATATATATATATATATATATATATATATATATATATATATATATATATATATATATATATATATATATATAATCGTTGGGAACCTCGTATTTACATGGAATAAAAAAGATGTCATGTGTGTTTTAGATGCTGTCAGAGGTATTGCAGACTGTCAGTAGTGCTATACATGACTAAGTCACAATATTGCAGACTGTCAGCAGTGCTATACATGACTAAGTCACAATATTGCAGACTGTCAGCAGTGCTATACATGACTAAGTCACAATATTGCAGACTGTCAGCAGTGCTATACATGACTAAGTCACAATATTGCAGACTGTCAGCAGTGCTATACATGACTAAGTCACAATATTGCAGACTGTCAGCAGTGCTATACATGACTAAGTCACAATATCGGCGCTAGAACAATTCACAACAGACCAACAATTTGAAGCTGTAATTTTAGACAACGTTTCGATCTGTCCTGAACCATCATCAGGTCGCTCACCAAGGAAACGAACCGTCGTTTAAAGTTTCCTGTGTAAATCGTAGTTTAGTTGCGATTTATTACACATGTCGCAGTGACACCACGTGTTACCAGTACTGTGACAACACCTGTTGCCAGCACTGTGACAATACCTGTTACCAGCACTGTGACGCCTGTTACCAGCACTGTGACAATACCTGTTACCATCACTGTGACAACACCTGTTACCAGCAGTCACCGTGACACTACGTGTTACAAGAACTGTGTGACAACGCGTGATACCAGCACTGTGACAACACCTGTTACCAGCACTGTGACAACATCTGTTACCATCACTGTGACATCTGTTACCATCACTGTGACAACACCTGTTACCAGTACTGTGACAATACCTGTTACCAGCACTGCCACCATGATACCTCGTGTTACAAGAACTGTGTGACAACGCGTGATACCAGCACTGTGTGACAACACCTGTTACCATCTGTCACCGTGACACCTCGTGTTACAAGAACTGAGTGACAACGCGTGATACCAGCGCTGTGACAACACCTATTACCAGCACTGTGACAACACTTGTTACCAGCACTGTGACAACACCTGTTACCAGCACTGTCACCGTGACACCTCGTGTTACAAGAACTGTGACAACGCTTGATACCAGCACTGTGTGACAACACCTGTTACCATCTGTCACCGTGACACCTCGTGTTACAAGAACTGAGTGACAACGCGTGATACCAGCACTGTGTGACAACACCTGTTGCCAGTAATGTGACACCACGTTACAAGAACTATGTGACAACGCGTGATACCAACACTGTGACAAAACCTGTTACCAGCACTGTGACACCACCTGTTACCATCACTGTGTGACAACACCTGTTACCAGCACTGTCACAGTGACACCACGTGTTACCAGCGCTGTGACAACTGTTACCAGCACTATGACAACACCTGTTACCAGCATTGTCACAGTGATACCACATGTTACCAGCCCTGTGACAACACCTGTTACCAGCACTGTCACAGTGACACCACGTGTTACTAGCACTGTGACAACACCTTTTACCAGCATTGTCACAGCGATACTAGCATTGTGACAACACCTGTTACCAGCACTGTGTGACAGCGCATGTGATCAACACTGACAACACCTGTTACCGTCACTATCACTGCGACCACACCTGTTACCAGCACTGTCACCATGAGAACACGTGTTACAAGAACTGTCACAGTGACAATACGTGTTACCAGCACTGTCACTGCGACAACACGTGTTACCAGCACTGTGACAACACGTGTTACCAGCACTCTCACTGTGACAACACGTGTTACCAGCACTCTCACTGTGACAACACGTGTTACCAGCACTCTCACTGTGACAACACGTGTTACCAACACTCTCACTGTGACAACACGTGTTACCAGCACTCTCACTGTGACAACACGTGTTACCGCACTCTCACTGTGACAACACGTGTTACCAGCACTCTCACTGTGACAACACGTGTTACCAAACACTCTCACTGTGACACACGTGTTATCAGCACTCTCACTGTGACAACACGTGTTACCAGCACTCTCACTGTGACAACACGTGTTACCAACACTCTCACTGTGACAACACGTGTTACCAGCACTCTCACTGTGACAACACGTGTTACCAGCACTCTCACTGTGACAACACGTGTTACCAGCACTCTCACTGTGACAAACACGTGTTACCAGCACTCTCACTGTGTACAACACGTGTTACCAGCACTCTCACTGTGACAACACGTGTTACCAGCACTCTCACTTTGACAACACGTGTTACCAGCACTCTCACTGTGACAACACCCGTTATCAGTAAAAGCCCAAATTTGCCATCATTACTTCGTTGGCAAAACAACGTAGCTGTAGTAACCCAAAATAATGCATTACTGCGCCAGGTGTCGTAGTTACTGTCCTAGATGTCGCAATTACTGCTTCAGGTGTCGTAGTTACTGTCCTAGATGTCGCAATTACTGCTTCAGGTGTCGTAGTTACTGTCCCAGATGTAACAATTATTGTCCCAGGTGTTGTAGTTACTGTCCCAGGTGTAGTAGTTAGTCCCAGGTATTCTACTTACTGTTCCAGTTGTAGTAATTAACTCCATATGGTGTAATTACTGACCTAGGTGTTGTAATTACCCCAGGGGGTGTCATCCCTGCCCCAGGCGATGTTGTTACTCCAGGCAATGTTATCACTGCCCCAAATGGTGCTATTACCTGTAGGTGGTGTTATCACTGCCGCATTTGTTAAAACTCCCCTAGGTGGTGGTGTTATCACTGCCACAGGTTGTATTATCACTGCCTTGGGTGGTGCCATCCCTGCTCAAGGTGGTGTTATCACTGTTGCATGTGTTATAATTATCCCAGGTGGCATTACCACTACCAAAGGTGGTGCCACCCCTTTCCATGGTGGTGTTACTGGCTCAGGTGGTGGTATTACTGCCCCAGGTGTTATATTACCCCCCTGTGGTATTACCACTCCCAGAGGTGGTGTTACCCCTTTCCAAGGTGGTGTTATCACTGTCCCAGGTGTTATATTACCCCCCTGTGGTATTACCACTCCCAGAAGTGGTGATACCCCTTTCCAAGGTGGTATCACTGCCCCAGGTGCTATATTATCCCCTGTGGTATTACCACTGCCAGAGGTGGTGTTACTGGTTCAAGTGGCGTTATCAGTGCCCCAGGTGTTACAGTTGGGCACAGGTGTTGTGGGACTCACCTGCTGGTCGGAAGAATCTGGACGAGACTTGGTGTTGGCCGCCATCCACGCTTCTGCGAACGTTTCCATGGCGCTCTGAAAGTCCATCGCTGAGTTCAGCAGGTGCAAGGCTGAGGCGGGACACGAGGTGGTCCAGCCCCCGGCACCTCCCGGCGGGACACGAGGTGGTCCAGCCCCCGGCACTTCCCAGCGGGACACGAGGTGGACCAGCTCTCGACACCAGGATACGAGATGGTCCAGTCCCCGGCGGGACACGAGATGGTCTAGCCCTCGGTGGGACACGATATGATCCAGCCCCCGGCGGGACACGAGGTGATCCAGCCCCCGGCACCTCCCGGCGGGACACGAGATGGTCCAGCCCCCGGCACCTCCCACCGGTGGCCCAGTGGTCTTTCCCGCACACACACGCTACAGCAGAAACTTACAAGAGAGAAAGGCGGGATGGCGCGGCAGGTAGCGACGGGGGGAGCGCTGAAGGTGGCTTCCCCGAGCACTGGGAGAGTGGAGGAGGCACTAGGGAACACCGCGGGTGGAGGCACACATGGTCGCTGCCAGCCACGGCCACACACTGCTTCCTGGCCTGCCACCGATTAAAGTCACTGAATGCCACGTGCTAAGCCTTGAGCCGCCTTACACCCGCCACGAGCAACCTTCCTGCCACTGGTCAGTTCCTCCCTCAGAGCACCAACACCGACGCTGCGTCACCCCCGTCGTGCCATCCACGACTAGCTAATTTCCTACCAAAAACATACTTTATAAACAGCGAGTTTAGATAAGCCTCCATAATCCTAGATTAGGGGGGCCCCATGCATGCGCAGACGCAGTAGCTCGGGCCCGCAGTTTAACCCACCGTCCTCTCCTGCTTTTTGGTGATGATAGCAACCTTATGAGCGGTGGCTAACTCTTGTCATAGGAAGCCATGTGAGTGAGGCTGCGCAGGGAGCAACTTCAGCCTAACACGACAACAGAAGGAGGCGCTAACTGAGATAATATCAGTGAGGGGCGGAGGAACACGGAACCCACCGCTTGCGCGCGCACCCCACACTCAGTTGCCGCCCAACTCCCGTCGTGACAACTTCTCGCCCGCTCTCCCACCACCCTTTACACCATGTGTCACTGTGTATGTCTGTGTGTGTGTCTGTGTATGAGTGTTCGCTTCCTACACCATCCCTCTCTCAGAGCCCCATTAAAGACCCTCCCTAACCCCCGAGGCTCCTCCTTCAGCAACAGTGAGGAGTTATGAGAGCCTGAGTGAGGCACAGCAAGATAGAGAGGTCTCCCCTCCATCCATTCCTGGAGAATAATAATAACTGGGAGTACGGAAGAAGAGTCTTAGCCAGCCGCCGCACAGGAAAGAGGTTTTACTGCTTGTTTTTACGATGCAGCCCCCGACGAGTCACGCCGGGGCGATCGTGCATCTACGATAATCCACCAGCTTTACCGCTTACGTGGAGATTTGCCCTAATCCGATTGGGAACGTAATTGCTGCTGCCGAAATTTCTTTAAGCCTGCCGTAACAAAAAAGAAAGAAGGGCTCTCAACGCTTAGCTGAAAGAGTGGGGGGGGGGGGGGGGGAGAGAGAAGAAGCCGGAGATAAGAGAGAAAGAAAGGGAGAGATAAAGAGGAGGAGGGTGAAGGGAGGAATAAAGGGTCATCCGTTAGGGATCTTAGGTGTGGCGGGGACCCAAAGATACGTATCATATAGAGGCAGAGACAGATACCAATCACACAGGGGAAAGATACAAGGTATACAAGAGAGAGAGAGAGGAGAAAGAGAACCGAGGGTGGGAGAATGTGATGCCAGATATTATTATTAAATATGCATTTGTCCAATGTCACTATTTCCTTAATAGTCCTCCAAGTAGTTAGATACTAAAACTAGTTAAGTCTAGCTAGCCCTGTCTTCGGGCACGTACTAAGCAGTTACAGTAGAGTCATCCTGGGTCATGTAAGGTCATGGGTAACAAAGGACTTTTACGCCTCTGACATCTTGTTAGATGACCTCATGATGACCCGAGTTGTTAAGTTTTCACTGGTCCTCAATGAAGCAGAGGATGGTGATGGATCCAGGATGGAGACTGTTATGGTGATGGATCCAGGGTAGAGACTGTTATGATGATGGATCCAGGGTGGAGACTGTGTTATGGTGATGGATCCAGGGTGGAGACTGTGTTATGGTGATGGATCCAGGGTAGAGACTGTGTTATGGTGATGGATCCAGGGTGGAGACTGTGTTATGGTGATGGATCCAGGGTGGAGACTGTGTTATGGTGATGGATCCAGGGTGGAGACTGTGTTATGGTGATGGATCCAGGGTGGAGACTGTGTTATGGTGATGGATCCAGGGTGGAGACTGTGTTATGGTGATGGATCCAGGGTGGAGACTGTTATGGTGATGGATCCAGGGTGGAGACTGTTAAGGTGATGGATCCAGGGTGGAGACTGTTATGGTGATGGATCCAGGGTGGTGACTGTTATGGTGATGGATCCAGGGTGGAGACTGTTATGGTGATGGATCCAGGGTGGAGACTGTTATGGTGATGGATCCAGGGTGGTGACTGTTATGGTGATGGATCCAGGGTGGAGACTGTTATGGTGATGGATCCAGGGTGGAGACTGTGTTATGGTGATGGATTCAAGATGGAGACTGCTATGGTGACAGTTCCAGGGTGGAGACTGTTATGGTGATGGATCCAGGGTGGAGACAATGTTATGGTGATAGACCCGGGGTGGAGACAATGTTATGGTCTTTATCTTTCTTGCAAGACACAGCTGCCCAAGGAAGTACTGTGTCGCTGAAATACGCACACACACAGGAGGGTCAAGGGAGACATGATAACGACATATAAAATACTGCGATGAATTGACAAGGTGGACAAAGACAGGATGTTCCAGAGATGGGACACAGAAACAAGGGGTTACAATTGGAAGTTGAAGACACCGATGAGTCAAAGGGACGTTAGGAAGTATTTCTTCAGTCATAGAAGTGTCAGGAAATGGAATAGCCTAGAAAGTGACGAAGTGGAGGCAGGAACCATACATAGTTTGAAGACAAGGTTTGATAAAACTCATAGAGCTGGGAGAGAGAGGACCTAGTAGCGATCAGTGAAGAGGCGGGACGAGGAGCTGTGAATCGACCCCTGCAACCACAATTAGGTGAGTACACACACACACACACACACACACGCACACACACACACACACACACACAGTCTTAATACTCTGTGTATAAGATATCTTATACAGGTTTAATACAGTATATAAGACACAAAGGTCTTAATACACAGTGTATGAGACACCTCACAAAGGTCTTAATACAAGGTGCATAAGACTCCTCACAAAGGTCTTAATACAAGGTGCATAAGACACCTCACAAAGGTCTTAATACAAGGTGCATAAGACACCTCACAAAGGTCTTAATACAAGGTGCATAAGACACCTCACAAAGGTCTTAATACAAGGTGCATAAGACACCTCACAAAGGTCTTAATACAAGGTGCATAAGACACCTCACAAAGGTCTTAATACAAGGTGCATAAGACACCTCACAAAGGTCTTAATACAAGGTGCATAAGACTCCTCACAAAGGTCTTAAAACAAGGTGCATAAGACACCTCACAAAGGTCTTAATACAAGGTGCATAAGACACCTCACAAAGGTCTTAATACAAGGTGCATAAGACACCTCACAAAGGTCTTAATACAAGGTGTATAAGACACCTCACAAAGGTCTTAATACAAGGTGCATAAGACACCTCACAAAGGTCTTTATACAAGGTGCATAAGACACCTCACAAAGGTCTTAATACAAGGTGCATAAGACACCTCACAAAGGTCTTTATACAAGGTGCATAGACACCTCACAAAGGTCTTAATACAAGGTGTATAAGACACCTCACAAAGGTCTTAATACAAGGTGCATAAGACACCTCACAAAGGTCTTAATACAAGGTGCATAAGACACCTCACAAAGGTCTTAATACAAGGTGCATAAGACACCTCACAAAGGTCTTATACAAGGTGCATAAGACACCTCACAAAGGTCTTAATACAAGGTGTATAAGACACCTCACAAAGGTCTTAATACAAGGTGCATAAGACACCTCACAAAGGTCTTTAATACAAGGTGTAAAAAGACACCTCATAAAGGTCTTAATACAAGGTGCATAAGACACCTCACAAAGGTCTTAATACAAGGTGCATAAGACACCTCACAAAGGTCTTAATACAAGGTGCATAAGACACCTCACAAAGGTCTTTATACAAGGTGCATAAGACACCTCACAAAGGTCTTAATACAAGGTGCATAAGGACACCTCACAAAGGTCTTAATACAAGGTGCATAAGACACCTCACAAAGGTCTTAATACAAGGTGCATAAGACACCTCACAAAGGTCTTAATACAAGGTGCATAAGACACCTCACAAAGGTCTTAATACAAGGTGCATAAGACACCTCACAAAGGTCTTAATACAAGGTGCATAAGGCACCTCACAAAGGTCTTAATACAAGGTGTATAAGACACCTCACAAAGGTCTTAATACAAGGTGCATAAGACACCTCACAAAGGTCTTTATACAAGGTGCATAAGACACCTCACAAAGGTCTTAATACAAGGTGCATAAGACACCTCACAAAGGTCTTAAAACAAGGTGCATAAGACACCTCACAAAGGTCTTAATAAAGGTGTATAAGACACCTCACAAAGGTCTTAATACAAGGTGCATAAGACACCCCACAAAGGTCTTTATACAAGGTGCATAAGACACCTCACAAAGGTCTTAATACAAGGTGCATAAGACACCTCACAAAGGTCTTTATACAAGGTGCATAGACACCTCACAAAGGTCTTAATACAAGGTGTATAAGACACCTCACAAAGGTCTTAATACAAGGTGATAAGACACCTCACAAAGGTCTTAATACAAGGTGCATAAGACACCTCACAAAGGTCTTAATACAAGGTGCATAAGACACCTCACAAAGGTCTTAATACAAGGTGTATAAGACACCTCACAAAGGTCTTAATACAAGGTGCATAAGACACCTCACAAAGGTCTTAATACAAGGTGTATAAGACACCTCACAAAGGTCTTAATACAAGGTGCATAAGACACCTCACAAAGGTCTTAATACAAGGTGCATAAGACACCTCACAAAGGTCTTAATACAAGGTGCATAAGAACTCACAAAGTCTTAATACAAGGTGCATAAGACACCTTACAAGGTCTTAATACAAGTCCATAAGACACTCACAAGGTCTTAATAAGGTCAAGACACCTCACAAAGGTCTAATACAAGGTGCAAAGACGCTCACAAAGGCTTTGTGTATAAGACACAACTATCATGGATAAACTAGGATTAATGACATTAATACTGCTAATCCCACCTAAGCAGATATAACAAAGGTGACTGTTGTTCCTGCTTTTTCGCAACACTGTGTTAGGATAAGTTAGAACTCGCAACACTGTGTTAGAATAAGTTAGAATTCGCAACACTTAGAATAAGTTAGAACTCGCAACACTGTATTAGGATAAGTTAGAACTCGCAACACTGTGTTAGAATAAGTTAGAACTCGCAACACTGTATTAGGATAAGTTAGAACTCGCAACACTGTGTTAGAATAAGTTAGAACTCGCAACACTGTATTAGAATAAGTTAGAATTCGCAACACTGTGTTAGCACGAGTTAGAACCACGAAGACTCTCTAAATGTTTACGTGTCACATTAGGCAGCCTCGTTAGTCATAAAAGAAATCGATGTAACATTTAAAAATAATTACGAAACTGATGCAAAAATCCATAAATTTACAAAACTGATGCAAAATTTCTTTAAAAATATGAAATAGATGAAACATTTCAGAAAAAAAAGATAAAAAAGTGATGAAAATTTTCTAAAAAAAAAAAAAAAAAATGAAATAGATGAAACATTTCCAAAAAAAAAAAAAAAAAAAAAAAAAAAGAAAGTGATGCGAAATTTCTAAAACAAAATTTACGAAAATGATGCAAATTTAAAAAAAAAAATACGAAAAATTATTCAAAATTTAAAATTTTTACGAAGATTATCCAAAAATTTCAATTTTCTTTTTACGAAACTGATCCAAAATTTCTACAAAAAAATTACGAACGCGATGCAAATTTTGTAAACAATTTACAAAAACATGGAACATTTCTATATAAAAAAAAAAAAAAAAAACGAAACCTGTGCACCATTTTTAAAAACACACGAAACCGACGCAACACACGAAATTGACGCAACATTCCTACTAAATCCTTGAGGTGAATCCTACAGTGTTGCAGCTTGGTATTATTATTATTATTATTATTATTATAATCAAGGGGGAAGCGCTAAACCCGGAGGATTATACAGCGCCGGGGGGGGGGATGTGGAAGGCATTAAGGCTTAATTCGGGGAACTGGAGCACAGATCCAATTCCCTAAATCAAGAGCCCCTCACCAACATCAAGGAACCTTCCTTGAGGGGCAGCTTGGATA